TTTTTGGTACCCAAATGGCTTTCTTCTTTGAGCCCATAATTGGTGTACCAACAAATTTAGCCTTCACTCCATTCACACCCTTGGTAAGCAAATAATAAGAATCAAACTTAATTGAGGATACATTAGTGTTCTTGTTCTTGTTCTTGCAATATTGCTCTATATGCTCAACTTGCTTGCATCTATTGCAAAACCAACCGTTGTTCTTCACAAAACTAGTCTTGTGAGGAGCAAAGGCTGTCTTACCTTTCTTGGAGGTATAGCCTAATCCCTCTTTGTTGAGAGAAAATCTATGGCTACCCAAGCACTTTAGCAAGCGAGCCTCACCACCATAGGCATTGTCTAAGGCGTGAGTGAGCTCATTGACCTCCTTCTTTAAGGTCTCATTCTCAACCATAAGTGATGCATCACAAGTGAAACCATCACTCATAGGTGAAGTAGTAGTGGATGATGAGCTACAAGAAGGGTTAGTGGGAGCAACAACAATAGGTTTATAGAAAGATTCATTAATTATGTCACATGTTAAGCCTACGTCACATGTTATAATTACTTTCTCATTTTGCTCAACAAGAGCGGAATGAGCCTTTTCAAGCTTCTTGTGAGCCTTACCAAGCTCCTCATGGTCTTCCTTTAGACTCTCATGAGTAGCATTGAGCTCATCAAAGGCTTGCTTAAGGGCTTTTAGTTCCTTACGCAAGTCTTTGCATTCCCTTCTTTTGATGTCAAAGTGAGTTTTGGCATCTTCAAGCATGTCAATTAATTCATCTTTAGTTGGTTCATCATCATCATCACTATCACTTTCACTTTCACATCCATCATCGAGATTGTACCTTAGTGGCCTTAGCCATGAAGCAAATTGATGGAGTGTCGAAGAGAGAAGGCTTCTCATTGATAGCAATGCTTGCAAGTGCTTTTTTCTTGGTGGTCTTGTCATCATAACTATCACACTTGAGGTCATCTTGTCCTTCTTCTTGCCCTTCTTGTCATCATCTTCATTCTCACTATTGTAGTGGCATTGAGCAACAAGATGATCCTTGCTACCACACTTGAAGCATCTCCTTGCTTCATCCTTGTTCCTTGATGATGATTTCTTTCTTCTAGTATGATAGCCCTTCTTCATCATGAATTTGCCAAATCTCTTCATAAAGAGAGCCATCTTCTCATCATTAATCTCATCAAAGCTTGAGTCTTCATCTTCACTTGATGATTCTTGCTTTGCCTTGCCCTTGGATGATGATGTGGCTTTGAATGCCACACTCTTCTTCTTCTCATCCTTCTTCTCATCTTTCTTCTCCTTGCTCTTCTCTTCTTTCTCATCATCATCTCTATAAGTGTCATCGGTCATCACATCTCCTAACACTTGGTTTGGTGTCATGGTGTCCAAACCACTCCTCACTAGAATGGTGACCAATGTGCCAAATCTTAATGGTAAGCATCTCAAGAACTTGTGGGAGAAGTCCTTATCCTTCACCTCTTCTCCAAGTGCTTTGAGATCATTGACAAGTACTTGAAGCCTATGAAACATTTTCGGCACACTCTCATCATCCTTCATCTTGAAACTAGTAAACTTCTCCCGAGGATGTATGCTTTGGCGCCCTTCACCGCTTGAGTGCCCTTAAATGATTCCTCCAACTTCTTTCATGCCTCATGAGCCATCTCAACGTTCTTGATTTCCTCAAATGTTCTCTCATCTACGGCATCATGAATGGCACTAAGAGCAATGTTATTGTTTTGGAGCAATACTTCTTTGGCGGCGGTGGGAGTCTCTGGATCGGCTATCTCAATCTTGGTCTCCACCACCTTCTACACCTTTCTATTGATTGACTTGATGTAGGTGGTCATCTTTGCCTTTCAATATGGATAATTTGATCCATCAAATTGTGGTGGCTTCTTGGTGTTGTTGATTTGAGCCATTTTGACACCGAAGATTGTTAAGCCTCAAATCAAGGTGACAATGGCTCTGATACCACTTGAAAGGTCCTAATGGCTAGAGGAGGGTGAATAGCCTATTGAAAATTTCTACAACAACACTTAAGCCAAATGGTTAGACAAATAAATGGCGAAGCGAGTGTTGCGCTAGCCTACTAAAAATACAAGCCTCCTATCCATAATTCTAGTTATCTATGATATCTATATCACACAAGATGCTAAGTCACTACTCTCTAAGTTAGTGAACTCTCAAAGACTAACTAAAGAGCCTCACTAACCACTAACAAGACAAAAGCTAGCTCTCAAGACTAAATACACTAAAGTGCTTAGCTACACTAGGAAAGTAAATACAAGAGAGGTAGTGAATGTTATACCGCCATGGCAAGAGATACACAATCAATCACAAGAGAATCCCAAAGACAATGAAGACAAAATGATTTATCCTTGAGGTTCACTTGCTTGCCGGCAAGCTACGTCCTCGTTGTAGCGATTCACCCACTTGGAGGTTCACACACTAATAGGAATCACACGCCTAACCCGCAATCGGGTGCCACACAACCAACACAAGATGAGGATCCACAAGCTATGGGCAATTCACTAGAGTATCTTTTGGCTCTTCATTGGAGAAAGGTCAAGAACCCCTCACAATCACCGCGATCGAAGCCGGAGACAATCACCTTCCTCCGCTTGACGATCCTCGCTGCACCAAGCCATCTAGGAGGCGGCAACCACCAAGAGAAACAAGCAAAATTTGTAGCGAAACACAATAACCAAGTGCCTCTAGATGCAATCACTCAAAGCAATGCACTTGGATACTCTCCAATCTCACCAAATGATGAATCAATCAAGTAGAGTGGGTGAGAGAGTGTTGGCTAGGCTCACAAGGGTGTATTGTCAATGCAAATGGCCAAGAGAGTGAGCCCAAGCCGGCTACCACGTATTGATAGACACCCCCAAACAATAGAGCCATTGCCTCTATTATTGGGCTGTCTGCGTACTGACCTGGCGCATCCGGTCGCTCCATGAGAGCCACGTGGCCCTATTCAAAAGCATTAGCCGTTGGCGCCCAACGGTCGCCTCTATCACATTCTAACATGATGATCGGACATGCAGTTAGAGAAACAAACGGACGTTGAACAGGCAGGTCGAGTCCAGAGAGCTCCCAGAGCTGCTCAGGACCGACCGGATGCACCCAACGTTAGGTCACTCTCCTCCTTGTGCGCTGCTCTCTCTAACTAGACTCAACGCTCAGCGTTAGGCCACGCGTTGTACTGAGCGTCCGGTCACAACGAAAAACCACATCGAGAGGTCCAGAGCATGACCGGACGCGTCAGATTATCACTGATCGGTTGTACCCCAGAGTCTGGTCACCTCTGCCTTAGTCGCTCACGTTGGGTCCAAATACCGGATGTGTCCGGTCCTAATACCGGGCGTGTCCGGTCACTTCTGCAACACTTGCCCGAGCTAGGGTAACACACCGGACGAGTCCGATCTCAATGTTGGACGCGTCCGGTCACCCTGTGATCAGCGCAATCAACTCTTTTTCAACTCTAATTTCTCCACCCTTGCTCAATGTGCTAACCACCAAGTGTATCACCTTGTGCATATGTGTTAGCATATTTTCACAAATATTTTCAAGGGTGTTAGCACTCACTAGAATCTAAATGCATATGCAATGAGTTTGAACATCTAGTGGCACTTTGATAACCGCATTTCGATACGATTTTCACCCCTCTTAATAGTACGGCTATCTATCCTAAATGTGATCACACTCGCTAAGTGTCTCGATCACCAAAACAAAGAGCTCCTATCAAATATACCTTTGCCTTGAGCTTTTTGTTTCTCTTTCTTCTTTTCCAAGCCCGAGCACTTGATTATCACCATGGCCATCACCATCATCATGATCATCATCATTTGCTCCACCACTTGGAATGTGCTATCCTATCTCATGATCACTTAGAGCCATGGGTTAGCACTTAAGGTTTCATCAATTCACCAAAACCAAACTAGAGTTTTCACCATGTCCTTCATATTTTCATTACATGAAGGCTCCCGATGGTTGGAAAGTACCCGACTTTTATAGATAAAGTGGCGAAGATAATAAAATAAGGGAGCATATTAGCATGCTTCTTGCTCAATTGGGTGAGGCTAGTACCATGGAACATATGAACATTCAGAATTTTTTGTTATCTCTTACTGGTACTCTTCATTGTAATTTTGCTCTTTTGGTTCTTGGACACACAATTATTAGAAGTTTCGTGAACAATTTTTAATGGAACCGGTGAGCTTAAATTGTCTAATTTGACATCGGTTAAGCAAGAGCATGACGAGATTGTCCTTGATTGTGTTAGAAGATTGAGTGAAATTAAAAACCGATGTTTTAATTTGATAATTTCTAAAAAGATCTTACTGATTTGCCTTTTATTGGCTTGCACTCTAATTTAAAAAAAAAAGCTTGAGCACTTTAAGTTTCTTCCTATTAATCAATTGTTGCAAAAAGTTTTGGCTGTTGAAAGGCAACGTTATGCTATGCTGGAGAATCTCATAAGTCAGATGGTCAAAGATATAGAAATTTAAAATCGATGTTCAAAGATATAAATGCTTGATTTAGGACAGAGCTAGTGTTGACATGTAAAGACAAACAGAGGAAGAAGTGCTCGTGTGTGCTTAGCAAGATTGACATCACATGGGCTTTCAATTCTTTCTCGTTGTTGTTCCTACTGGGCCTGCCCGATCATTGGGTTTTACTGGGCCTGCTCGAGCGGCCGGTCCTGTCATCATGTCCTGTGTCCACCGTAACCTACTACCCTTTTTGTCCCAATCCGATCCCCAATTGGTTTTTGAATGTTTTATTTAGGAAACCACATGCGTGCATATATGTAGTATATAGGAAGCTGGCATATATTTGTCCTAGGCTCCTCCTAGCCAAGTACAAGCTGCCTGTCCCTATGAATTAAAGTCTGTCTTATATTCTTATTCTTATTACACATATATATATGAGTAATTCGACAGTAAGATGGAAAGACACCAACTATTAGTGTAGTACTTTGTTAATTTCGTTGTCACCAAATTCATCAGAGTTGGCCTGCTGCTGATGTCCATCGATCCAACATGGCTTGGCACTCTTTCGCCCTGTACTCAGGAGCTGTGTGCCCTCCTCCCTGTTTTTTTTATTATAATTATTTTGTTAGAGAATAGATGAATTAATAATTGTCCCTAGCTAAAACATACTACTAGATACACTATCATAGTGCATGCATGTTATTCATCCGTACCTTTACAGTGGCGAAAGTGAGGTTGTGGGCGTAAGTCCTTGTGAACCTGACGCACGTACAGAAATGAGAAATCATAAGGACGGGCAACGAACTCAACTGGAGCTGAATTGGGTGCTGAACTGAAGCAACCAACAAGAAAGACACCAAGTAATAACTTACCCTGCGACCTGTCGGTTGGCGAACCATGGTCTCCAGTCGCTGACGATGGGGTAGCCGATAGTTCTGATCCACTCTTGGGTGCCCACGTAGGTCATGTCCAGGTCATGATCGCCGCTGCATATATATATATATATATATATAAATATATAGATGTGGTGCATGCCATTCGTCCATTCGTGCATGCATCAATCAATCAATAATATATATAACCATGCATGCATGTATACTACTACTGTCGTAGTACGTACTTGTAGACGAGCGCCCTGTAGCCCGCCTTGGTGAGGTTGACATGGTAAGGGATGACGGTGTCGAGGTCGTGCCTGAAGTGCGTCAGCATGGTGCATCGACTCCACGAGCCGATGGACCCCTCATGGATGCCCAGCGCCTCCCTCACCTCCGGGTCGTCCGCCCAGATGTAGGACAGCCGGTACCCGTTGTCCCTGCACTCCACCGGCAGGCTCAGCCTCTGCTTCGCGAAGAATCCCGGGTGGGCGACGTCGTCCCGCACCAGCATCGACCGCCTGCCGCCGTCACCCCCGTAGCTCTGGAAGATGCTGCCGACCCGTACCGCCGCGCCGCAGAAGGGCTCCAGGATGTGCACGGGGTTCACGGCGAAGGTGACCAAGTTGATGGCCAGCATCGCGCTGGCGCACGCCGCGTTCGTGGGGTCTGGCGTCTTGTAGAAGTCGCCGCCGCACCCCAGCTTGGCGGCCTCGTACAGCTCGTCGGAGATGAGCCCCATGCCGTGCATGAACGGCACCTTGCCACCCGTGTCGTACCGGTTGTCCGTGCCGGCGTTGCCCACCAGGTAGCCCACCAGGTTCGGCTTCTCCGGGTCTGGCGGGCTGGCGGCGATGTCCATCGCCGCCACGGGCACGGTGTAGCCGGAGTAGGAGTCGCCGCCGATGTAGAGCGGGTTGGACGCGAACTCCGGGTGCTCCGCCAGCCACTTGCGCAGGAACACGTGGTGCTGCCGCCCGGACTCCGTCAGGCTGACGTTGAGCCCGGCCTCCTCCACGGAGTAGGAGAAGCCCGTGCCCACCGGCGCGTCCAGGAAGATGACGTTGCTCACCTTGGTCCATGAATCCTCGAAGTAGACCAGCCGCGGGAACCCTTCCGTGTACCCCGCCACATCGAACTTGAGGGGCCCTGCACCACCACCACCACCGTACCGTCACCACATGATGCGTGCAAATTAAATTAAAGTGCATATATGCGAGCTACAAAGGACCATCATGCTAAGCATCCTTTTCTTTATCTTAGACAAGAAGAATCACATGCTCGATAATATATGTTCTTTCTGTTGCAAGATGTATGATGACTTTAATTAAGTTTGCATGAATAAAACTGCATCAATATGTACGTACAATGTCGTCAGACCATGGAATGTCTTGATAATGTATTTATTTGGTATTGTTGGTATTAAGATTATTGATGATATTTTGTTATCGCTCGGTGGGTGGGGTGGGTGGCTGGAAGCTAGAGCAAGTGAGCAATGGTGGTCACCAGTGTCACCGCCACCCGTGCCCTGCTCACTCACAAAAGTATTTGGTCCAGATGTTGGTACGCTCAAGAGAAATTAAAGAATGGCCCAGCGGAACAAGCAACCAAAAAGGAGAATAGAGAGCACACACCCATGCCAAACAGGCAAGCATTCCCGGACGTCTGATTTTGGGCGTCTCGGTTCCCTATTCTGCGACACTACTTCAGCAGTAATTTTCAGAGAACGAACAATATTTTTCTCTCACAACAAATCAGCATAAACATCAACGTAGACCAAATTTCAGCAAAACGGGAGCATGGAATTAGAATGGTCGGTCCTGGACCAGGATAACAGCGCTGTCAAAGACAGGGGGTGTGGTGCTGCTAGCTGCTGCTACTAATCAACGGAAAAGTAGCGACTGTTGCTGTCAAAGACAAGACAAGAAATTAAAATCTCCTACACTGCCGCCTTGCTTTTGGCCGACGGTGTCTGGATCTGTATGGAACTACGCATAGATCCTAGGTCGAGCAGGACATGAAGCGTGTCCTCATCGTCGGCGTCATGCGTTTTGGCAGTGACGATGTATGCAGGCTAGGTGATGGCGCCTATCACTTTGCTACCTATCGACAATTATTATATATGATGCATGCTTTACTTTTCATATATATATATACATATGCAATTATATTATAAGTTATTATTCTAGTTTTTTAATATAGTTTTCGCTATATATTTAGAATGTTTAGCTTTTATTAATAATTAGTTCACTATTCCTTAGCAGTACGTAGTATATATACTTACGTTGTCGGTATAAAAAAAAGAAATCATTTTAATATTATCTTTAGTCAAATGACTATTTGAAAAAGTTATAAATTTTAATATTTTTTATATAAATAAATATGACAAGATTTAAGATGGAATCAGGCCAAAATTATAATGATTTTATTCTACTCCAGTATTAATTTTGGTACGGATCGGATGATTGAACAAAGGCAGGAGCATTTACAAGAAGGTTGGACGCACGATGAAATGAAAATAATATAGAATAATAATATAATCACGTGTGTGTGTGCGCGCAGGCTGCCGCCGGCCAGACGGCCGGTTCAGAAAAATATTTTAGGACATGTAGATAGGATTGTTCCGTCCGCGTGTGTATGCCGGCCGGCCGGCTGGTCATGAGCAAGAGCGGAGTTTTGAACTACCAGTTGTGACACAAATATCGGATTCAAACACCCGTGTGTGTCTGCCGGCTGGCCACGAACGTGAGCGGTTTCGTCCTACCAGTGCAGTGACGACATAAATAAATATCGGAAACAAAATTTGTTAAAGTTTCAGTGAACATTTAAAGTAAAATATATTTTCGACTGAAATATGAGAATCTGTATGAATATCAGTCTAAATAAAAAGAAAATATGTCAACTCGAGGGCCGAAAGTCGCCGGAAATTTGGACATATAGCATGGATGAGTTGTGAGCATAAACATGGATGGTTTTGCATATGGTGATCGGTGGTGGGTGTCGGTCAGCCTGGGATCGGAGAAGAAGATAGGTAGTAATACAACGAGGCAGCAGGTAGCCATGCAGCGTGCAGGCACCACCCATGGTGGAGAACATGTTGTATGTATGTATGCACAACGTACTGAAATTACTACGTAAATTCTGTAGGCTGCCCGTGCGAGAGACAAGGAAGGAAGGAAGGAAGGAGAAGAAGGTATTTATACACTGATCGAGTAGTACTACTGACCGATCTCGAAGAGGAGTCCAGAGAGTGCGGAGCATCCGGGGCCGCCGGTGATCCAGAGGATGAGCGGGTCCGAAGCCGGGTTCCTCTCCGACTCGATGAAGTAGTAGAACAGCCGCGCGCCGTGCTCCTCGTCCACCTCCACGTACCTGCATGCACCCAAACATCCGATGCATGAGCTGCCTAGCTAGATAGGTGAAAGGTGAGGCCTCTAGCTGCTAGCAGACGTTACCCTGTCTCGAGGTGGAATGGCAGCGGGCCTTCGAACCCCTTGATGTGCGTGATCACGTTCCGGCCCGCCCCCTTGGCCACCGCCGCCGCCGCACCGACGATGACGAGCAGCACTAGCACCGCCGGGAGGAGTAGTTGCCGCTGGAGCGGCGAGGGGCGGCGATAATAGGCGCCCATGGTGCCACACCAAGACGAGGACGAGGACAACGATGCCGTCGTCGTTGCAATGCAAACTCCTCCTAGGAAATTAAACAACTCCGTCCTTAGGTACCTCATCACTTTCTTTATAGTGGACCTCCGCAGCCGCTTTGTTTACTGTGGTGCAGTAGTGGTCCAGAATGCATACACGGCTATGGTCGCTCGAGCCTGTAAGCTAGAATTAGCTTTATCTTATTAAGTCGTGAAACAGTATTTTTTTTCTTCAACAAATTAGCCACGTAAATCAGCCGTCTCTAGAAGGTCCGCCGCGTGATGTATGGCCAAGCTGGAGGTTGATTTGCACCCGTCGTTAGCCCTCCATCCCATCCATCGGCTGGGCCTGGGACTCTGGGTGTCCGCGCGCTGCAAGTCTCCTGTGTGGAGTACGTCAGTCCAGTACCGGTGCCGAGACTGCATCGAGACCTTTTAATTTCAGACTGGACAGTTCTATTGCTACGTACAGTACATTAGATACGCTTCAATCAGCCTATTTATTTATTGGTTTTAGCTGGGGCTATATTTTTCTCTCACAATAAACCAGCACCAGTCGAACTTATCAGCCCAGCGAACAGGCCGAATATCAAAGCTGCTACGATGATATATGGACACTCGTTCACAGAGACAGAGACAGATACTAGACTATATTTCAACTGTTACGATGATATATTGATGCGAAATAATTCAACTGTTGGAAAAAGACGCACGCGCTAGCTAGCTAGATGTCTCTCATTCACAGAGACAGAGACTAGGACAAGGATATATGGACACTCGTTCCATCTCATTTCCATACCAATTTCCCGGACCATACGTGCATGCAGCTAGCGCTACAATCTCCAAATTGACTTCTGCTCCTGACTGGACTAAGCTAGTAGTACAAATAGATTAAGAAGTTGAGATGAAATTCCTATCTACTCCGTGTTAGCTAGCTACTCTAGTGACAAAAATCCTTGTTTCTAGATCGAGAGCCATGCATAACGAGGAAATAATTCACCGCTTTATTTTCGAAATCAAGTGCCCTATACATAGGCATGCATGTCACTGTCGTCGCCGTGAAAAAAAATAACAACTCCGTTTGGATCCGATGACTAAAATCTAGGAGGTGTCACGTGAGGGTGTCGCATAGGGTGTTTAGACACTAATAAAAAAATAAATTATAGAATCCGTCAGTACTTCACGAGACGAATTTATTAAGCCTAATTAATCCGTCACTAGCATATATTTACTGTAGCACCATATTGTCAAATCATTAAACTAATTAGGCTTAAAAGATTCGTCTCGTAAATTAGTCGCAAGCTGTGCAATTAGTTTCGTAATTAATCTATATTTAATACTCTATATATGTGTCAAACATCCGATAGAATAACGACTAAAGTTTAGAAGGAGAAACAAACACGTCTAAGCTACCTAGGTTGCTTGTACGATTCGTGGATGGGTTGACGATACTGTATATTTATATTTATTAATTTATAGATTCATCTCGGTGATATACAAGATGAAGATGATGAGGCGTTACGCTGAATAATCAACTGCCATGTGCGTGCTCTTGTTCTGAGAGGGATTATTAGGCAAGGCGACGACAACAGCACAGACCTGTACGGCTGCTTATCTGTGCTGTGTCTGTGTTGCGGTCACTGGTTGCGTAAGCCAGAGTTGTTGTTTCTTGCATTATATATTTATATATATTGGTCTTCGGAGAAATCGGTGCCCGCGGGCATAGAAACGACGATGGACCAAGAGCGGCGCCGGCGTCGATGAGAGCTACATGATGGTGCATGTCGCCTAGCGTGCGTCGCATCGCAGCTACCGCTCTAGCAGTGCTTGTACCTGCGGTTCTAGGTAGCTTATTGTCAATCCATAAATACATGTTAATCATGGATTAAATAGACTTATTAGATTCGTTTTGCGAATTAGTCATATCTCATTGCATGTTTTCATCTTTATTATCTCGCTGGTCTTTGTTCATGCGTGTTTATACATATAAAACTACCGTTCTGCAGCTGGCCATAGAATAACTTATTCTGTGGTCACTTTGAGTTACGATAATTACCATGCTAATTTACGAGATTACAGTAACTCCTTACTAAGTGATTTACTATAACATTATCGTAAATATCACCGTGAGTTGTAGTAACACGAGTATCGTAAATGCATATTCATGTTATCGTAAATTGGTATAAATATTATCGTAAATCAAAGTGGCTATAGAATAAGTTATTCTATGACCAGCTACAGAATAGCCTTTTATATATATATATATATATATATATATATATATATATATATATATATATATATATATATTAGGTAGCTAATTAGCAAAATAGGTAGGCTCAGTAGGTAGCTAACGTAGGAGGCTGAATTGGCGGATGGTGACATACCATGGACTCACACAACGACGACGGATCACGAGAGGATAGGATACGTGTGGTTCCCAAACAGAGCTTAGCTTGCAGCTGCACTCGGATGGGAGACACTGCTTTCTTCCTAATGCGTCAGTCAATGTGCAGATGGGTCCGTAGCTCAGACGTTGTAGAATGCATTCATGTTTCTTTTATATCAGATCTACACGTTATAATATTAATGTTCTCTATGCAATCTAAAATTATAGTAGTAGAAATTTATATAAATAAATATTCGAGATTATGATCCTCGTTTCATAGCTACTTTCCAAAAACATCATTCGAATTATTTTGAGATCACGTTCTACTCTTCGAACAAATCATCCCAAAGAGATAACCCCCTCACAAATCGGGAACTTAAAATTACCAATACTCGTTCCACGTGCCTCTTCCTCGTACCCTTTGTTTTTACTAGTTAAGTCTATCAATAGCAACATCGATCAAACGATCCACCAAGGATCAACTGTACCATTTGGTGCATACTTTAGTGCGTGTTTTAGTACGTTTCAAGTTCAATATTAACCCATTCAACATCTTTAATTGAGATCGATCCTTGACTTGAAACTAACTCAATGAGGACACTTTCCACCAACAACTCGATCGAGAGTTAGCCACTTTGTGCATCTCCATGCTATTGCTTTGACTCTCTCAAGATGAATGTCTTGGACTCCCTTAATAGCACAACCAAAAGAAAAACAAAGACCTATTACACACTACTTATTGAGAATGTCTCCATGACCATAGCCTACATTCGCTTCTATAGTGTCGTTAGTCTTCTGTCTTCTCATATAGTTTGCGCCGTACACAATTAGACTAGGTCTTGGAGACAAGTCACTTGTGGCGATTCTCAATGTGACTAAAGCAATTGCAAATAACCCCTACGAAATACATGTTAGTCACACATACTTGTGTTCATCAATCACCAAAACCCTATTTTCTCCACATGGACCTAGACGTGTTCAGAGTGCTATAAGATGCATTTAGAGTGCTAACAAATGTGGCAGAACCGTCCGAAATAACACGCTTACGGAGGTGCTCGTCTTCCACCAGACACTAAGCACCCCGAAAGTAAGCTACAGCGGGCGGTATCCGTCGGGCACACCCTAAGGGAGAACCCGAATGATCCACATTTTTCTTAAGAATCCAATAATGAGAATGAGTTACAATACTTGTCCATTTCATATATCAGAGTTTCTTAAAATTACATTATTACAATACCAAATATCAGAGTGCGGAATGATAAACAATGGAATTTAAAATAAACATCTAGCGATAGGAACGAGGATCCGGCTGAGCCCACCAGAAGAATCCTTCACACGAGGGTACTTCTCATGCATTACCTGCAACAGGGGTAAATAAACCCTAAGTACATAATGTACTCGCAAGACTTATCCGACTAGTGGGAATAATTTCCCGACTCCAAGGAATATGATAAGCTTTATGGTTTGCTGGTTTCTTTTGGCAGAAAACAACACTAATAGTGAGTCCTTATTTATGTTATTATTATCAGCCGTATTAAGTTATCATCTAACCAGTCTATATAAGCACCTGTTCTACTTTCAAGCAAGAGTTGAGCAAGCAGTTCCATTTCTTCTCCTTTCAACTTTCAGTTCTTACTACGGTGCTAAACACGAAGCAAGTCGTACCGACTCGGCGGCGATTCGCGAACCAATGTGCCCAGCTGGGTGTCTCGAAAACACACGCCCCGCTTGTACCCCAGGCACAAGTAGGACCAATCCATCACCCTCCTGTCCTGGGTGTCCAGGTTCCCGTCTAAACTTGGACTCCAAACCCCCACTCCTGAGTTTCGGACTCAGTGCGGTGCAAGAACTTCCACCATCTCCGCCTCCAATCAGTCGGTCCGGAAAGAGCCGGATCCATGACAAGAGAGCAACAAGTCTTCCCTGCGCCCATACCCAAGTATGTGCTCAGGACAATAGATCTATGACTTGCCCACGATGCCTTATGCAACGACCGGTCCTTAATCGACTCAGACAGGGAAAAAGTGTAACCGAGCTATGCCCTGTTGGCCGCAGGATACAACCCCTTACACCCACCAATACCCAAACCATATCCATGCACGGTCACCATTTACCTTTACCATTTTATCATGAGTGATCAAGTTTATCACCTACTTGTGAGTAACGGCAGGTTACTCACGCTACCGATATCCTAAGCATAGCAGCTACTCAACCTGTACTAGTAGGACTCATAGGTAGATATATTTATGCACGTAGTTTCCATAAAATGCTTGTAATGTAAATGCACATCATATATATATATCCAGTGATCATTAAAAATAGGGGTTATGCACCGGAGCTTGCCTTGGGCAGGCGACGTGCCAGTAATGTCAGCACCAACAGGCTCTGAGGCTCCCTCCTGCACGAGGATCTCCTGCTCGTACTCCTCGATCACCTCGTCGTACTCCTATTCGTCGACGGGCATGAATTCTACCAGCTCGTGATCTACATGCATGAAATGACGATGCAATGCTTAGTAATATAGCAACAGCAACTCTTAAACTAAAAGTACATCTGTCTAACTACTAAGCTAGTGCTACCAACCACTGTACTAAGTTAT